TAGTAGTAGTAGTAGTAGTAGTAGTAGTAGTGTGGTGAGAGCAGGCTGCTAGCCGATTGGTTGGCACTAATCTACGTTAAGGTCTAGGTCACTAATATGGGCCGTGAGAAAATATGAACAAGCCTGAGTCAACAACCAATCACAGCAAAGTTAACGTGGCAGAATATGATTCGCAGAGTGAACTCTGTTTGTCAAGGAATCCCGAAACAACCAATCAGAAGCCCGCGTTTGTCTACCTAAACAACCAATCAGATGACTGCGCTTGTCTATAATAATGTAGTTGAGATGTATAAATACGTGTTGATTTTCATAATAAAACGATCTGTTGCCTGGCCCTTGTCTTCTGTTGTTACAGTAGTAGTAGTAGTAGTAATAGTAGTAGTAGTAGTAGTAGTAGTAGTAGTAGTAGTAGTAGTAGTAGTAGTAGTGTGGTGAGAGCAGGCTGCTAGCCGATTGGTTGGCACTAATCTACGTTAAGGTCTAGGTCACTAATATGGGCCGTGAGAAAATATGAACAAGCCTGAGTCAACAACCAATCACAGCAAAGTTAACGTGGCAGAATATGATTCGCAGAGTGAACTCTGTTTGTCAAGGAATCCCGAAACAACCAATCAGAAGCCTGCGTTTGTCTACCTAAACAACCAATCAGATGACTGCGCTTGTCTATAATAATGTAGTTGAGATGTATAAATACGTGTTGATTTTCATAATAAAACGATCTGTTGCCTGGCCCTTGTCTTCTGTTGTTACAGTAGTAGTAGTAGTAGTAGTAATAGTAGTAGTAGTAGTAGTAGTAGTAGTAGTAGTAGTAGTAGTAGTAGTAGTAGTAGTAGTAGTGTGGTGAGAGCAGGCTGCTAGCCGATTGGTTGGCACTAATCTACGTTAAGGTCTAGGTCACTAATATGGGCCGTGAGAAAATATGAACAAGCCTGAGTCAACAACCAATCACAGCAATGTTAACGTGGCAGAATATGATTCGCAGAGAGAACTCTGTTTGTCAAGGAATCCCGAAACAACCAATCAGAAGCCTGCGTTTGTCTACCTAAACAACCAATCAGATGACTGCGCTTGTCTATAATAATGTAGTTGAGATGTATAAATACGTGTTGATTTTCATAATAAAACGATCTGTTGCCTGGCCCTTGTCTTCTGTTGTTACATTTGGTGTCGCTGCCTACCGACAAATGGAAAGCCTATGCCCTGCTGTTTTCGATGGAGGCATATGGATCTTCGGGCAGGACTTCAAGGCTTCTGCGCAGTTGAGTGGCGTTCAAGATCTGTCAGCAATGGAGCTGCTACTTGGGACGCTGCTGGGAGGTCGGGTGAAAGCAGCATATGAAAGTGTGAGCCGAAGTATGGACGAATGTTCGACAGGGTCAGGCAAACAGTTTCCAAAGTGGGAAGGACCATATATGGTCACTTCGAGATGGGGTTACGCAGACACAGTCGCAATGGCGAACAATAAGAGGCGCGTGAACGTCAGCGAGCTCCAGAAATGGATACAGCGAGACAAGCCAACGATGACGCCTGCACCAAGTAGATCAAGCCGACTTCAGTCGCACGTATTTGACGGGGGACGAGTGTGGTGAGAGCAGGCTGCTAGCCGATTGGTTGGCACTAATCTACGTTAAGGTCTAGGTCACTAATATGGGCCGTGAGAAAATATGAACAAGCCTGAGTCAACAACCAATCACAGCAAAGTTAACGTGGCAGAATATGATTCGCAGAGAGAACTCTATTTGTCAAGGAATCCCGAAACAACCAATCAGAAGCCTGCGTTTGTCTACCTAAACAACCAATCAGATGACTGCGCTTGTCTATAATAATGTAGTTGATTGATGTATAAATACGTGTTGATTTTCATAATAAAACGATCTGTTGCCTGGCCCTTGTCTTCTGTTGTTACAGTAGTAGTAGTAGTAGTAATAGTAGTAGTAGTAGTAGTAGTAGTAGTAGTAGTAGTAGTAGTAGTAGTAGTAGTAGTAGTAGTGTGGTGAGAGCAGGCTGCTAGCCGATTGGTTGGCACTAATCTACGTTAAGGTCTAGGTCACTAATATGGGCCGTGAGAAAATATGAACAAGCCTGAGTCAACAACCAATCACAGCAAAGTTAACGTGGCAGAATATGATTCGCAGAGTGAACTCTGTTTGTCAAGGAATCCCGAAACAACCAATCAGAAGCCTGCGTTTGTCTACCTAAACAACCAATCAGATGACTGCGCTTGTCTATAATAATGTAGTTGAGATGTATAAATACGTGTTGATTTTCATAATAAAACGATCTGTTGCCTGGCCCTTGTCTTCTGTTGTTACAGTAGTAGTAGTAGTAGTAATAGTAGTAGTAGTAGTAGTAGTAGTAGTAGTAGTAGTAGTAGTAGTAGTAGTAGTAGTAGTAGTAGTAGTAGTAGTAGTAGTAGTAGTGTGGTGAGAGCAGGCTGCTAGCCGATTGGTTGGCACTAATCTACGTTAAGGTCTAGGTCACTAATATGGGCCGTGAGAAAATATGAACAAGCCTGAGTCAACAACCAATCACAGCAAAGTTAACGTGGCAGAATATGATTCGCAGAGTGAACTCTATTTGTCAAGGAATCCCGAAACAACCAATCAGAAGCCTGCGTTTGTCTACCTAAACAACCAATCAGATGACTGCGCTTGTCTATAATAATGTAGTTGAGATGTATAGATACGTGTTGATTTTCATAATAAAAAGATCTGTTGCCTGGCCCTTGTCTTCTGTTGTTACAGTAGTAGTAGTAGTAGTAGTAATAGTAGTAATAGTACTAATAGTAGTAATAGTAGTAATAGTAGTAGTAGTAGTAGTAGTAGTAGTAGTAGTAGTAGTAGTAGTAGTAGTAGTAGTAGTAGTAGTAGTAGTAGTAATAGTAGTAGTAGTAGTAGTAGTAGTAGTAGTAGTAGTAGTAGTAGTAGTAGTAGTAGTAGTAGTAGTAGTAGTAGTAGTAGTAGTAGTAGTAGTAGTAGTAGTAGTAATAGTAGTAGTAGTAGTAGTAGTAGTAGTAGTAGTAGTAGTAGTAGTAGTAGTAGTAGTAGTAGTAGTAGTAGTAGTAGTAGTAGTAGTAGTAGTAGTAGTAGTAGTAGTAGTAGTAGTAGTAGTAGTAGTAGTAGTAGTAGTAGTAGTAGTAGTAGTAGTAGTAGTAGTAGTAGTAGTAGTAGTAGTAGTAGTAGTAGTAGTAGTAGTAGTAGTAGTAGTAGTAGTAGTAGTAGTGAGAAGTCTTTACAATCTCAGTTCATCAAGTTGGGTGTGAGCAGAAATACTCTCCAACGACATTGGATGACGAGTCGAGTGTATTACGCGAAATGGCAGAAGTTAGAATCGACGCGACAGTGAATTCCATCTCAGTGGCTCGATGCTCTACGAAATCGCCTTTTAACCTGAAGGTCCTCAGATCATAGATGCTTACAGAGTAAGGCTAGCAAACAAGCAGGTAGCAATTGTTCATTTCCTCCAAACTGTGGAACATATTCTAACTGATTTCAGTTTGGGATCACTCTTGAGGAATTCTAACCCCATCCAACACTCTTACCACAACTCTGTGTGTCCAGTCAGAATCACTTGATAAATCGTGAAGCCAACTGGTTGCATTGCAATAATACCTGACGTCTATAAGCTCAGCGAGATTTTCGTCATGCACCGACCAACATCAGTTGGAGAGTTCATTGGGAAGTAGCCAGCCACGAGCACTGGAGAGCTCTTCTATCCTACGTTTTTGGAATCTTCAGCAGTTCACATCCACAACGCGACAACCAGAAGTCTTCTGGTTACAACACCAAACCCGTTGGAGATCATTCAACCACTTGTGTCCCAATTCAGTCACCAATGAAATCTAACCTTGTCAATACGCTCGTCATATAGCACGTCCTCTGACCAATGCCCTCCTGATTGTGAATGATCCCTGACGAAAATCTAAGATCTCTGAAATTAGTTCATTATATTCACGAACCCTTTCGTTTGTATGTTGATCGCCAGCTCACTGATGACCACTGGAAGGACCGCCAAAAACTGTGCAGTGGGAAGTTAAGAGCACTGAGGTTCACCATATCATGGTGAAGTGCATACTCATCGAGTCACTGTCGAAAACTGAGCTGTATCAGAAGGTGACAAAGTTATTATTCACGGGTTACTAAATTTGAGTTCAAGGAGCTTGGCCTGGTAAACTGAAGATCTCGACTTCGATCCCTGGCTGTGGGATAATGGACGTGCACTGCAATGAACTGTCCAAAAAGCAAGGATAATACAGTTATCCAGTGCTCCCAGCCCACTGGTTTTCAATGAACTCTTCAGTTCATGTTGGTGGTTCGTGATGAATATCTAACCACAGTGAAATTAATTCAAACATAGACATAGGGTGCTTTCCTGTGTCCTCTTCATACGTATGCCAGCGTATATATTGTTATGGGCAAAGTTAAACAATATTCATCCACAGATTGCTAACAAATGACTAAACTTGAAACAATCAATCACAAAACCAGTGTCTTTTACACAAATATGAAGTTAATCAACAACAGAAATACTGAGAATAGTGACAAAACTCATTAGACAGAAATTTTTCCCTGATATGACCTGAAAATATCTCCCAGTTATAACGACGAGTATCAGATAATTTAAGATAGACCAGATTCTGTACATATATTCATCAAGTTGACTGAAGATCATTTCTTATCCTGTTTTCCATTATTCTAAGAAAACTGTCGATTGAGATGGTATGAGTTCCAGTAAGCGAATCGATAACTTCAGATTTTGAATATGTCTGAATCTCCTTGACATTCACTTGTTGAATGAATTAAAGGAATCTTGAGTTCTGTTAGGGAAGGAATCTCAAGGCATCCCCTTCAGAACCAGTTTGAATTCATCGACTGCACTGAAAAATAAAGAGTAGATGACAAAAGTGTGATTTCACTCGATGTCAAATCACTTTTGACGAATGTCAAAATTAAGCAAACGATTTGTCTCCTATACAGATACTGGGAAGACAACAACTTGAATATTGGAATACAGACTCCACAGCTAAAACAGATTCCAATCAAATGCACTCTGGACGTCCAAATCACGTCCAGCGGTGTAATCTACAGAAGGCAAGATGTCGCAGCTATGTGATCAACATTATGTCGGATACTTGCATATATCTTTATAACAAGTTTAGGAAATCGTTCTAATGAAGGAGACGCTTTGTGGGAAACTGGGCAGGTCAGAATACAGAAAGCCGGAGCAGAACAGCCGGTTGACAAACCTCTACGATTGCATTCCCATGAGTTGCTAGTGACGAGGATTCAAATGATCTGCAGTTCTGAGTCGATATATGAAGAGATCGCTATTTCAACGAAGACACTGATTAAAAATCCACACCATCCAGGATTCATAGGCGAACACATAGCACCCAAAATCAACATGCAAAACCACACCACCGTCCTGAATAAGGTCCTGCGCATGAATGTGGTGATCTTCTGGGGAACAGCTTAAGGAAGAGGATATCAAATGCTTTGAAGTGAACATTGGTTGTTTGTACATCAAGATTGATATTCTCATGTTGCACACATACAGACAAACGTGCACACTGACGATTTGACATGAGTCATTACAATTATATGATGATTACTTCCATTTTTCTGTTGGTACAAATATCTATCGTCAAATAACCTTCAAAATAACTGACATCAGTGAGTGTAATTTTTATAAGGAAAAACACATTCGCTTTTGTTCAGCGAAGAAATATCTCTTCTCAGCGACTTCATTTTCAAGAAGCTGTAGATTTGTGTTTATATAATATGCAGAGGAGTATTGGGAGGCACTAGAACTTGCTCAGTGGTCAATATTGCACATATGATAAAAATTAAGATAATTAAAATGATGCACTTACTACTAAGGGGGTACAGTTGAAGTGGAAGAATTACAAAACTTTCGAGGATTGTTAAATAAGTGAGCTGGTATAAAAATTTTAACATTGGTCATAGTAATGTTCTTTCATTTGATTCTACCTAACCACTTGAATCCACCCTCGCCGACTTTATTGTTATCATCGTCGTATTCTCAATCTTTTCAGAAAACAACTGACCTTCAATGTTTCTAAACTCATTAATTCTACTTCATTTCTAGGTGAAAGTGTAGCGCACAGTCTACGTTCATTCTCTCTGATCTTCACCTGTCTACTTCTCTAGCCTACATAACAGGCCTCACGTCTCATTAGTGACTGATTACATTTTTCAATAACAAAATTTGTTAAGATTATCTAATAAGTGAACTCGCATAAAGATTTTAATAATGTAGGTCAGGTGTTGTCTGGAAAATTCAGAATACGATGGTGATAACAATAAAGTCAGCGAATATGAATTGAAATGAAGTGAATTGAAGTGGTAAAGTAGAGTAAAATAAAAAATTAGAACATCACTAATACCAATTTTTAAATCATTCTACTCTCAGAAAACAGATCTTGTTTTGATTTTCTCCTAAACACGCTGGTGTTATTTTAAACAAGAATTTACAATGAATCGATATGACTCGGCGCTCAAATTATTTCAGGGAATTCTCAACATCTCCAGTCTGAATTATAACTCATAAAGACAGTAAAATCTTGAGTAGAAAACATTCCTCACTCTGTGACTTGTGAGGCTACAATTAGTCACTCCCCACAACTTGATAAATCTGATGACTATTGACAATGAATTATTGAAAATAAAATACACGAGAAGAGAATAGATTATGGAACTAATTGTTCGACTGTCACATCAATACTGTCTCTGATTGATAAGTTTTCGGATTGGAAAGCCACCAACGAAAATCTACTTCTCCATTGTACTTGGAATAGTATTTTCCCTACAAGAAACTATTCAGTCAGCATGTGAAAGGCAAGCGAACTCATTGGCTCACATCTCAGTATACTTGAGTAATAGCTGATTGACTTGACAGTACACTGTGAGGTGGGGAAGATGCCTCACCACCACCAACAACAGCGACAACAACAACAACAGCAAAGCATCAGTCGTTGTCAACGGGAGAAATGTGAAATAATTGACCTGTTCCACTTAGCTAGGTAGCGTCTTTCCCTAATACTGCCTGCACAGATGAGGATGTTAGATGTAGGATTGGAAAAGCAAGATAGACCAGCCATCTTCCACGACTCTGAAATCAGTTTGCATGTCTGCTGCACACAGTATAAGAAACAACATCCAAATCGTCAATGCTAATGTCAAGTTACTCAGTTCTTCTGTAAGATCCAGAGACCTGACGCGTGACGAAAGCATTTCCGGCTTGATACTGCAAGCTGTCATCAGAAACCGCCCTAGCTGGCTTCATACTGAAGATCAGATGGCTGGCCACGGAGGATAAGCAAACAACGGAGAATAGCTTCAACGAACCAACCAATCACCTATTGCCTAACGAATAAACAGCAGAAAATAGAAATGGATCGGACATACACTGTGGAGATCGTCGATTGACACCGGCCGATAGGCCTCCTAATGTGGAACAATTAATTAGGCCTGAATTCGAGTTCAACGTGGATGGAATTATGTGAGGAGGAGATGAATAGTGAATCTAGATAGGTGAAAATGACTACAGAGAATTGGGGTGGTACAGTAATGTGAATCTGGAGCCATCCGTGTATTCCACTCAGAACCTAGAGAAAAGTACTAATTGAGTACGCGAATGAAAAACTATCAGAAGAGCCGAAGTTTGCCTTCGATTCGATAAGACAACACCCTCTGAATTAGTGATAGTCAGTTCCGTCTGAGAAATCCTTCAAAACCGTATACAAGATGAGATCAAACTTTCCAAAGAAATTAGAATTAAGACGTCGTGTCATAGTAACACAAAATTTCAAACCAGCTCTGTGTATTCCTGAGCAATGTGTTTAGTCTTTCACTTTGTCATGACCATCAAAACTAGTCGAATTTAAACTGTCTATTATTATCATTCATATTACTACAGTCTAATAACGTTTATTCATCGGATTTCATGTTAACTTGCTTATCTTGCTCTCTTTTTCTATTACTTAGCTCTATTTTATCATTTACTATACTTTGATGGCATCCTGGAGATAATTCTGAACACCATAAATACCCATTGATTGAGTCATGTAAAAAATAAAAGACATTTCAGTGAAGAAAACTTTCTTGATCGACAAAATCCTCTTCAGGGCCGGTACAGTACAGTCATGATTATATTTACCGAAAACCAGTAGGGGTCAATAATTGTGCATCAGGGTTTTAAATAAATACTCAGAAGTGGCTTCAAAAGTAAAAAACACAAAATAAAACTTGTACCCTGTGGTAGAGTATAATTCTATTATGGGTAAATTTTTGTTTTGATAAAGTCTCACAATGATATACAGTAATGTTTACTGATATGGTCCTCATAGTGCTCTTTCCAGCGTTCCAGTCGTCTGTCGTGAGAGCTAATTATGGTGCCATTTTTCTCAGAGATTGTTTCACTTATCATTTACTTTCTATCCACTGTTTCCCTGATAAGGCTAAACAGTTGTCTGGTGTTGCCAATCGCCGACGCCTTTTCATTCATTGGGAAATACAAAATCCTTTATTTTAATGTTATATATATCCGCTAAAATTTCGTAACCGAGTGAGTGACTTCATAGACAAGCGATGAAACGATGATGTGACATACATGAAAGTGTTACAAACTACAAGATAGGATCATTGAAACAGAGACAATTAATTAATTAACATAAAATAACTTTAAAAAGGATTGTGCACGGTATATAACTGTGAGACTTTATCAAAACAAAAATTTTACCCATAATGGGATTAAAAATACAAAAGTCAGTTAAGTAACTTAATACTGGACGGCACAAAAGAAGAAAGGGATAGAAAATTGATAGGGTTAATATTGTTGATAAGTGAGCAGAAAATTTCTTGAGTGTCTATTTGACAAGCGTGAAAAGGCTGAGAAAATGTAAAAAACGAATGTGTGGGAGTGATAACAGTGAATTAGTTATTAATGTGAAAGCAAAGTATCCATTACCGATGAAACAAAATTTACAGGGATCTACTGGTGAAGAGGTTAAGACGACGGTAGAATGAGAGACTGGACAAACGATTTCTTTATACATAGTTTGGCGGTGCATTGACGAGTTAAGAGCGCCTACGCCATAAACAAGTGCCTAAAACTAAAGTAATATCTACCATTTGGTTTCATCCTGTAGAAAATCTTGGAGGACGACTCCGGTAGAATTGTGCAGCCTGAGTTAATCAAGTGATCGCAAAATGAGCCAGCAGTTGTCCTGCTGCTAGACATACTGGGGGGGGTGTTCATGGATTAATTTAGGAATTGTCCGCGTTGTTTGGCCAATATAACTAACTTCACAGGAACAACTGAATCTATTAACACATACTCATGTGACCCAAAGCTGCACTTCATCCTTCACACGTACATCGATCATTAGTCCCCTGTAGAAACTGATCCGTAGCTAAGCCGAAAAGAAGCCTCTCCGAAGCGATCTGGATAAGCGGCTCTTCAGAAGCTTAGATGCGGAATAAGCCATAGATTCAACATCCATAAACAGCGCGTTCTTCGTCAACTTCTGGGACCTTCTTGGCTCTCGCTTTACTTTCATGTTCTTATCGACAAATATTCGAGGATATAATTTGTCCATGAGAACTTGTCTGAGTCAATCCAGGATACGTCTCCACCCAGTGTTGACAGTCAGTTACTAAAACTACTTACTTCTAGACATGTCTTCCACGGATTTCGAAAATATGCAGATTGTAAACTAACCCAGAATTGTTCGGATATCCTCATCAATCACCCAAATAATCATCTCAGTCAGAATAAATCTCACTAGACATTTGTCTACTTCATCCTCCCTAATTGTCAATACTTTCTCGAAGCAGATTCAACGTTACACTGTGTTATTACCAAGTTTATACTACTTGATACTGCTTCAAATATCTTGGGTATTCTTCAACACAGGAAGGACGAAAGCACATTCCCATGTAACAGGCTCCCTCTTCGCCACAGTTTCAGAAAGTCTTCACCGCTGTTGAGTGGTGAAACAGGGTGAGTGATACTGAGGTGAGGCGTGATGCAATCGGTGAGGAGGTAAGTGAATCAATGCAGTTGGGGAGATAATTCTACTGAGATGGCTAGGCCACGAACTGTCCATGCAGATACACCATCTTCCTCGAAGACCCTTGTCAGCTGACATCAGATTAGGTTGGAAAATAGTTAGCAGTAGCCGAAATAAAATGTGTCATCAGTCCAGTGAGTCCTTCGATTGATGGTGTGAGCCATGTGAAGATGTGTAGACTGCCTCATTGGGTTCTTCAGGATGCTAAGAACCAATGAGTGAACACTATTGGTGATATGAATCAAAACCGTTCCAAATAACGCTGATGCATTCACACATTGTCATCTCCTAAGTCCGCTAAATTTTCTCGTTACTACTCTTTCTCAATACACACAATTGATGTGATTATGAACAATAATAAATTGTGTTCGAAACCATGTCATCCAGTGAATAATACTGTTTCGCTGTGTGATATATCTGGTAAACACTGTTTATTTCCGGTCATACAGAGTAGCTGATACCACCCTGTATTTCCTTTTCTATTCCTTTGCGTCTCGAATGAAACGTGCGGCCTCAAGCTTCAGCTTTCAAGTTTCAGCAGCCGTAGCGTTTATTTTCAGCCACACATACAAACTTCCTTTCTCCATCGACTTTTTTAATTAATAATAATAATTTTTCCTTCACGTTCCAAGAGGAACATAGGGTTTCAAGCAAGTGGCTTGCAGTTTCTGTAGCAGTGTTTATTTTTACAGGATGCAGTTGCTAGCTTACTGCCAAACATTTCAACTTTATCAGCAATATTTCTGGCTTAACGAGGTGAAGGAGTGCGTCGTCCGGGAAGCGAACCCCGGACCATGTGCATAGTCGGAGTACGTCCTAATATCTGTGGAACTGACGCACCCATCGATTTTACTACCGGGTAAATGAGGTCTCGTAGATCGTCAGCCGGAAATCGAAACCCGGACTGTGGTCGGAGAGTGAGTGTTCTATCACTAAACCATCGACACATATTTGCCCTCTGTTCCACCACCCTACCTTCCTTACATCTAACCAAACTTAACCAAACTCAACTAAACTGCACCTATATTCATACACATTTACGAAGACTTAGAAAATAAGACAAGTTCAATTCATTTAGTTGCCTATAGAAAGAAATATTTATTTCGAATTAATCGTGATACATTTATGGGATAATATTAGGTGTACATGTTATCAAGTACAATAGTAAGAAAGAACAAGAGACCAGATGTTCTAGTGGTTTCAAACGTCTGTGAACAAGAAGCAGGATTCTTCAAGTCTACTTCTCGTATCTAAAAATAAATAAAATGATGAATGCATGAGAAGGAAAATAGAAATATCCTAATTAGATATGCTAGTCAACAAGACAAAGACATTTCAAGAGGCCATGAAAGAAGATATATATATACATCTTAGTAGATATCACGCACCAACTCACCATATTGGCTATATGCAACATAGTGCATAACGTCCCGAGGTAATAAATCCAACCAGCCTGAGCATTAATCCCAGCAATGAGAAAACACACTGTCATTCCCGTGTGAAAAATGGCCAAATATGATTTAGTTTTCTCTCCAAATAGAACGGCGGTTGATTTGACACCTATAAGGATGTCATCATTAACATCCTAGAAGGAAGAAGAACTTTACCAATGAACTACTTGCACAAACCTGATGTGCGTATATTGTGTCGTAAATCATTGTCCAATTGACGCCAGCCAGATACAGAGGAAATGTGATAGAAGGGTTAATATAACCCACAATGGCAGCATAGGCCAGCATAGCACCCCAGTTGACTGAAAAACCTATACAGAACAAATAAATGCAGTCTTTAACTTTAAAACCGAAGTGTAAAGGTGCTACGGGTTTTCTAGGCAATGATAGGCTAGCACATAAAACAAATATCCACCAGTCGATTACAGTCAAGCGAGCCAATTAACTCTCGAGAAGGAATTTTAAAAATCCCTGAGCGATAGTGGCAAAACACACAGCTGACAAATTATCCTCACTTGATGAGAATATATAGTGCCGTAGGCGGGAGTTGAACACACTGCAGCCGAGTATAAAGAGAGCACACGGAGAAAAAAACAAAACCCATTTATTGCGGAATAGTCAAGTCAAACACCTCAGTTCAACGTTAAACATACAACACCACGCCACACAGAGGTCAGAAAATAATCCCATGATTCTTACCAAGAAAAAGTTGTGGCCAATATGTGAATCGTTTGAACAGGGGATATATAATAAGAGGAATCATAACCAGAAAACCTACAAATACACTTGAGGAAGTAACTTATTGCAATATCAAAACCAACCTGTACCAGCTCAATTGCAACAAGATCACAAATAAAACCAATAGCTGCAAGCCCAATCAATGGGTATTTATGGTGTTCAGAATTATCTCCAGGATGCCATCAAAGTATAGTAAATGATAAAATAGAGCTAAGTAATAGAAAAAGAGAGCAAGATAAGCAAGTTAACATGAAATCCGATGAATAAACGTTATTAGACTGTAGTAATATGAATGATAATAATAGACAGTTTAAATTCGACTAGTTTTGATGGTCATGACAAAGTGAAAGACTAAACACATTGCTCAGGAATACACAGAGCTGGTTTGAAATTTTGTGTTACTATGACACGACGTCTTAATTCTAATTTCTTTGGAAAGTTTGATCTCATCTTGTATACGGTTTTGAAGGATTTCTCAGACGGAACTGACTATCACTAATTCAGAGGGTGTTGTCTTATCGAATCGAAGGCAAACTTCGGCTCTTCTGATAGTTTTTCATTCGCGTACTCAATTAGTACTTTTCTCTAGGTTCTGAGTGGAATACACGGATGGCTCCAGATTCACATTACTGTACCACCCCAATTCTCTGTAGTCATTTTCACCTATCTAGATTCACTATTCATCTCCTCCTCACATAATTCCATCCACGTTGAACTCGAATTCAGGCCTAATTAATTGTTCCACATTAGGAGGCCTATCGGCCGGTGTCAATCGACGATCTCCACAGTGTATGTCCGATCCATTTCTATTTTCTGCTGTTTATTCGTTAGGCAATAGGTGATTGGTTGGTTCGTTGAAGCTATTCTCCGTTGTTTGCTTATCCTCCGTGGCCAGCCATCTGATCTTCAGTATGAAGCCAGCTAGGGCGGTTTCTGATGACAGCTTGCAGTATCAAGCCGGAAATGCTTTCGTCACGCGTCAGGTCTCTGGATCTTACAGAAGAACTGAGTAACTTGACATTAGCATTGACGATTTGGATGTTGTTTCTTATACTGTGTGCAGCAGACATGCAAACTGATTTCAGAGTCGTGGAAGATGGCTGGTCTATCTTGCTTTTCCAATCCTACATCTAACATCCTCATCTGTGCAGGCAGTATTAGGGAAAGACGCTACCTAGCTAAGTGGAACAGGTCAATTATTTCACATTTCTCCCGTTGACGACGACTGATGCTTTGCTGTTGTTGTTGTTGTCGCTGTTGTTGTTGGTGGTGAGGCATCTTCCCCACCTCACAGTGTACTGTCAAGTCAATCAGCTATTACTCAAGTATACTGAGATGTGAGCCAATGAGTTCGCTTGCCTTTCACATGCTGACTGAATAGTTTCTTGTAGGGAAAATACTATTCCAAGTACAATGGAGAAGTAGATTTTCGTTGGTGGCTTTCCAATCCGAAAACTTATCAATCAGAGACAGTATTGATGTGACAGTCGAACAATTAGTTCCATAATCTATTCTCTTCTCGTGTATTTTATTTTCAATAATTCATTGTCAATAGTCATCAGATTTATCAAGTTGTGGGGAGTGACTAATTGTAGCCTCACAAGTCACAGAGTGAGGAATGTTTTCTACTCAAGATTTTACTGTCTTTATGAGTTATAATTCAGACTGGAGATGTTGAGAATTCCCTGAAATAATTTGAGCGCCGAGTCACATCGATTCATTGTAAATTCTTGTTTAAAATAACACCAGCGTGTTTAGGAGAAAATCAAAACAAGATCTGTTTTCTGAGAGTAGAATGATTTAAAAATTGGTATTAGTGATGTTCTAATTTTTTATTTTACTCTACTTTACCACTTCAATTCACTTCATTTCAATTCATATTCGCTGACTTTATTGTTATCACCATCGTATTCTGAATTTTCCAGACAACACCTGACCTACATTATTAAAATCTTTATGCGAGTTCACCTATTAGATAATCTTAACAAATTTTGTTATTGAAAAATGTAATCAGTCACTAATGAGACGTGAGGCCTGTTATGTAGGCTAGAGCAGTAGACAGGTGAAGATCAGAGAGAATGAACGTAGACTGTGCGCTACACTTTCACCTAGAAATGAAGTAGAATTAATGAGTTTAGAAACATTGAAGGTCAGTTGTTTTCTGAAAAGATTGAGAATACGACGATGATAACAATAAAGTCGGCGAGGGTGGATTCAAGTGGTTAGGTAGAATCAAATGAAAGAACATTACTATGACCAATGTTAAAATTTTTATACCAGCTCACTTATTTAACAATCCTCGAAAGTTTTGTAATTCTTCCACTTCAACTGTACCCCCTTAGTAGTAAGTGCATCATTTTAATTATCTTAATTTTTATCATATGTGCAATATTGACCACTGAGCAAGTTCTAGTGCCTCCCAATACTCCTCTGCATATTATATAAACACAAATCTACAGCTTCTTGAAAATGAAGTCGCTGAGAAGAGATATTTCTTCGCTGAACAAAAGCGAATGTGTTTTTCCTTATAAAAATTACACTCACTGATGTCAGTTATTTTGAAGGTTATTTGACGATAGATATTTGTACCAACAGAAAAATGGAAGTAATCATCATATAATTGTAATGACTCATGTCAAATCGTCAGTGTGCACGTTTGTCTGTATGTGTGCAAAGTGAGAGTACCAATCTTAATGTAGAAACAAAGAATGTTCCCTTCAGTACATTTTATACCCTCTTCCTTAAGCTGTTCCCCAGAAGATCACCACATTCATGCGCAGGACCTTCTTCAGGACGGTGGTGTGGTTTTCTATGTTGATTTTGGGTGCTATGTGTTCGCCTATGAATCCTGGATGGTGTGGATTTTTAATCAGTGTCTTCGTTGAAATAGCGATCTCTTCATATATCGACTCAGAACTGCAGATCATTTGAATCCTCGTCACTAGCAACTCATGGGAATGCAATCGTAGAGGTTTTTCAACCGGCTGTTCTGCTCCGGCTTTCTGTATTCTGACCTGCCCAGTTTCCCACAAAGCGTCTCCTTCATTAGAACGATTTCCTAAACTTGTTATGAAGATATATGAAAGTATCCGACATAATGTTGATCACATAGCTGCGACATCTTGCCTTCTGTAGATAACACCGCTGGACGTGATTTGGACGTCCAGAGTGCATTTGATGGGAATGTGTTTTAGCTGAGGAGTCGGTATTCCATTATTCAAGTTGTTGTCTTCCCAGTATCTGTATAGGAGACAAATCGTTTGCTTAATTTTGACATTCGTCAAAAGTGATTTGACATCGAGTGAAATCACACTTTTGTCATCTACTCTTTATTTTTCAGTGCAGTCGATGAATTCAAACTGGTTCTGAAGGGGATGCCTTGAGATTCCTTCCCTAACAGAACTCAAGATTCCTTTAATTCATTCAACAAGTGAATGTCAAGGAGATTCAGACATATTCAAAATCTGAAGTTATCGATTCGCTTACTGGAACTCATACCATCTCAATCGACAGTTTTCTTAGAATAATGGAAAACAGGATAAGAAATGATCTTCAGTCAACTTGATGAATATATGTACAGCATCTGGTCTAACTAAAATTATCTGATACTCGTCGTTATAACTTGGAGATATTTTCAAATCATATCAGCGATAAAGTTCTGTCTAATGTGTTTTGTCACGATTCTCTGTATTTCTGTTGTATATTAACGTCATATTTGTATAGAAGACACTGGTTTTGTGATTGATTGCCTCAAGGTAAATCGTGTGTTTTCAGTCCATGGATGAATATTGTTTAACTTTGCCCATAACAATATATCCGTGACATACGTATGAAGAGGACACAGGAAAGCACCCTATGTCTAGACCCATAAGGGTATGATCCCCGTTCGTTCCTCTATTTCTCCTATACACTTATTGATTATGTGATTCATTTACACTTGTTCGAATGATTTTGTTTGTCCTCGGTATACCGAAGTCCTACAGGTTGGTCAGTCAGCTAAAGTTTTCTGTAGATTATTCACAGTTGAAGATTTGTGAGGAGTTTGAGTTGATTTTAGTGTGGTTAGAAATTCATCACGAACCACCAACATGAACTGAAGAGTTCATTGAAAACCAGTGGGCTGGGAGCACTGGATAACTGTATTATCCTTGCTTTTTGGACAGTTCAGTGCAGTGCACGTCCATTATCCCACAGCCAGGGATCGAAGTCGAGATCTTCAGTTTACCAGGCCAAGCTCCTTGGACTCAAATTTATTAACCCGTGAATAATAACTTTGTCACCTCCTGATACAGCTCAGTTTTCGACAGTGACTCGATGAGTATGCACTTCACCATGATATGGTGAACCTCAGTGCTCTTAACTTCCCACTGCACAGTTTTAGACGATCCATCCAGTGGTCATCAGTGAGCTGGCGATCAACATACAAACGAAAATTTTCGTGATTATGGTGGAGTAATTTCAGAGATCTTAGATTTTCGTCAGGGATCATTCACAATCAGGAGGGCATTGGTCAGAGGACGTGCTATATGACGAGCGTATTGACAAGGTTAGATTTCATTGGTGACTGAATTGGGACACAAGTGGTTGAATGATCTCCAACGGGTTTGGTGTTGTAACCAGAAGACTTCTGATTGTCGCGTTGTGGATGTGAACTGTTGAAGATTCCGAAAACGTAGGATAGAAGAGCTCTCCAGTGCTCGTAGCTGGCTACTTCCCAATGAACTCTCCAACTGATGTTGGTCGGTGCATGACGAAAATCTCGCTGAGCTTATAGACGTCAGTTATTATTGCAATGCAACCAGTTGGCTTCACGATTTATCAAGTGATTCTGACTTGACACACAGAGTTGTGGTAAGAGTGTTAGATAGGGTTACAATTCCTCAAGAGTGATCCCAAACTGAAATCAGTTAGAATATGTTCCACAGTTTGGAGGAACTGAACAATTGCTTCCTGCTTGTTTGCTAGCCTTACTCTGTAAGCATCTATGATCTGAGGACCTTCAGGTTGAAAGGCGAGTTCGTAGAGCATCGAGCCACTGAGATGGAATTCAGTGTCGCGTCGATTCTAACTTCTGCCATTTCGCGATATACGCTCGACTCGTCATCCAATGTCGTTGGAGAGTATTTCTGCTCACACCCAACTTGATGGACTGAGCTTGTAAAGACTTCTCACTACTACTACTAATACTACTACTACTACTACGGCGTCGGTGGCACAA